GCCACGCCGATACAGTTGTGCGGGTGCAGCGCTGACTGCAGGAAATCGCAGCACTGACGCAGGACCTGCGCAAAAAACATAAACAGTTACTCAAGCAACTGGATATGATTTTGGAAACGGTCAGACGTTTCAGGTAGCATCCACTACCTTTGTCAGTGTCACTGGAGACTGGTCAGAAAAGCAGGGTATTAAGTAGCCTGTGAAACCCAAGCTCTTTGTCAAAGAGCTGACCACCAACTAGGGAGCTAGCAAAAAGCAAGGTTCAGTCAGTCTAGTTTATAAGTATGAACTGTTGATTGATATACAAATAAGTGAAGACGAATTTCTAAATCTACTTGGTAAGGAAACAAAAGTTAGACAAGTGAACATTTTCAGATCCAGTTACTTCTCAAGAACTATCATAGAATGGAACACACTACCGGAACACCCAGTGACACAACTATCTGTCGACACATTCAAGATGGGATTGGCCCTGCACCTGGGCTACCCCGTCTCACAGATGTAAGTCGGGTACTGCTAATTGTGGCCAGTCACAAAATGCACAAATTTATGTTTGGTTTTGTTTTGTTTTCATGCACATTTTTCTTCACCGCACCCCACTGGACGCAACAGCCGTGCACCCTTGGCGGGATGCCCTAGATAGGGCTTTGCCCAGTATTATATAGAACTTAAATAGAACTAGAGGTGACCTGCTCGATCTGGAACAGACTTGCGGCGGGCAGCAGCATCTGGACGTTGGCGTCGGTCACGGCGACCGTTCCCGTGTACGCGAAGTCGATCAGCAGCATCATGGCCGTCTCGTCAATACAGTGGAACTCCACCTCGTCCTGGTCACGCTCGCACAGGTTCCCCGTGAACATGGCCTTGAAGTACGGAGAGCAGCTGGCCAGGACCACCCTGGGGACAGACACACGGACGGGATGAGCCAACAACTCTTATTCATAGAAATTTGTGTAATCTAATTAACTGGATAGCTTGACACTTGCCACAAAGAGAAGTAAAAGCATTAGATTACACAAATTTATATCAATGATATCGTAGTCTATCCTTATGTAAAGTAGAAGGCTCTTTGATTAGTGAGTTGGACTTGGAGGTCATTGGTGTCAATTTCACGTTTAATATCATAATATTCCTATATGGAATCATACCAAATATTGCCTCAACGAACCCTTTTCAAGTCACAGAAAAACCTCTTAAGGATGCAACAATGTCACCAGAGGCAGTTTAAAAATATAATACTGTGTTTTACCTGCCTGTCTGACATATTGAATTTGTACATAATGAATATTTGTTCTTTACAGTAGACCTAGTACTAGTTATAAGTTTTTAGTTCGTTGGCTTATGCCATTCATAAAAGCTGTGTCAGTTCCGGGCACTTCTAACTTGTGTCTTACCTGTGTACATGGAACTTCTAACCTGTGTCTTACCTGTGTACATCATCCAGGAACTTCTAACCTGTGTCTTACCTGTGTACATGGAACTTCTAACCTGTGTCTTACATGTACCTGTGTACATGGAACTTCTAACCTGTGTCTTACCTGTG